GTGTGTGTGTGTGTGTGTGTGTAAAAATATCCATCCAAATCCTAATCAACAAAATTTTAAAATTCGCCAACAAAGCAAGACAATCCAACATGTCCAGAACTGGTTAGCACCACCGCAGAAATACCAACATACGTTGGAAACACACAAAAAAGCTTCATCCATTTCACACAAAAAAACACCATTCGAAACGCTAAAATCAATTGTGAACAACAAGACCTAAACTGAAACTTGAATAACGCTGAAACCTACAATGCAGACTTCACAACAATACATGTACCCTTGTCCGATTCTATACACACAAAGACACACAGGTACCCCCCCCCCCCAAATATGAAGATTAAAATAAAAAATCAAAATTAACATATAAAACGGAAGAGCTCACAAGAATGATACAATGCCAGTTATCAAACTCAAAGTTCACAAAGTACATTTAATTTTTTTTTTTTCGAAATATCTTTTTTTTAAATTCACTTCCATCTTTATTTATTCTTTTACTCACCTCAAGGAATAAATTAAATGTACTTTGTGAACTTTGAGTTTGATACCTAGCATTGTATCATTCTTGTGAGCTCTTCCATTTGATATGTTATTCATTATCATATTTTTACACTTTTGAAATGTACGTGCACGTTCCTTGATGTGAGTAAAAGAATAAAGATGGAAATGTATTTTTTTTAAAGAGTAAAAAAAAAAAAGTAAAATATTAACGCAATCTTCAGATTGCCGCGCAATTATTTTATGATGGTTAAAACGCGCAATTAAGATTTCGCTGATCGGTAAGTTGTTTGGAACATCTCGGTCTTTCTCATGGAATGGTGTATTCTTCTCAACCCGGATAGACCCTGACCAGTAGGGACTGAACCACACCTCCAAAATGATCTACATTGTGTCTACGGAGACTTAAACACGCTTATACTTTAGCACTTTAAAACCCAACAACTTTAGACTCCCTCCACCCCCCCCCCTTCTTTCCACATACACAAACATTTGAAACATACACAGACACTAACACAAACCCACCCACCTCCCTCTTTCCACATACATTAACATAGAAACACACAGACACAAACACAAACTCATCTCCCCCACCCCACTGTGCCCAAAAAGGAATCTATACTCTTGCCATGTTCTCCCTACTCAGATGGGCGGAGCCAGACGTTGGAAGCCCCGCCCACCAGGAGGCCGACTCTAGCTTGAGTGACGTGCCTGATCCCGCCCTGGCCTTCTCCTCTAGTTCCTCCTCTCAGGACGAGGTCAAGGTCATGACCTCTACGTGCGGGGACGTCCCATCTGTTATGGCACTGGTAACGTCATCTATGGACGTCGTGTGTGTGTGTGTGTGTGTGTATGTGTGTGTGTGTGTGTGTGTGTGTGTGTGTGTGTGTGTGTGTGTGTGTGTTTGTGTGTCGTTGT